GCACATTTCTAATAGGTTTAACGAATTACATGTCATTTATTTGAATTCAAATTTATTTTAATGACTTAGTATTTACTAAAAAGATGTAATTTTTCTTTAAAAAAAAGTTGTTATATGGATTTGAATGATTGTTTTGAATTCTTAGAATTTTGTGCATTTGCAATGTACCTAAATTAGTAGCGAGCGAAGCGAGCTTGGTTTGCGAAGCAAACCTTATAAGATTGTGTAGCAATTTATGGGGGTTGGCGAGCGTTAGCGAGCGTTAGCGAGCAGGGGGCACAGCCCACTAGTATTTAAAAAATCCGAGATAATTGAATTTTGATTTTAATTGTTTGTAAATAAAATCATCAGAAGATGAATTAAAAGTTTTTTCCGATGACAAATCAGAATTTTTTTACATAACTAAACATAATATTTTCTTAATGCATTTAAAATATTAAAATCCCCTTACTTTATGCTTTTTTAAAAATCTTGTCTCTAAATATCATTGAGTTATCTCATAAAACAACTTAAAAGTGCTGAAATTTTTAAAAGTAGTAAGAAAAAAAATAAAAGTATAAAAAAAGTTTACAAAGTGAATAAATGGTCATAATTTAGATAGTCATAATAATTATTGTCAGAGAGAAGAAAATAAAATAACACACCTACTAGCACTTCTACCTTAGCTTCATCAAAAGCTGTCACTATCTTACATGGGGAGGTATACCTTTAAAAAAAAGAATAAAGCAATTAATAATTTCCCACAAACTCTTATGATTGAATGTGTGGAGTAACTACCATAACAATTATTAAATATCAAGCAATCAATATCAAGCTAGTATATAAGAGAGATTAAAGCGCAACGAACTTAATACAGCTCTCACCACCAGCGCTCAAAATCGGGTGAACTTACACAGCTCTCTCGGTCTTTCGCAAAGAAAGCAATGAATCAACTAGTGGTATTCATTACATTCTATCATAGATAAAATTCTAAGGGGGATAAAATTGTAGCAATTCACTAATAACTCTATTTTATCTTGGGGTAACTTATGATAGATGAAGATTGACATAGTCCATAATTTCTTTCATAATCAATGCTTAAAGAACTTGAAAGAAAATATTTCCTATAATAAAATGCTTTAAGGTTTGTCATGAGTACAGACATTTTTCTAGCTCATAAGCTTGTTAAACCATTTCAAGGTATCATTTAAATAATTTTTTTTTTGTTAAACTACTTGAGTAATTTATCCCTTAAATAAATATATATTACAAATAAATATATAATCCCTTTTATAAATAAATAGCTATTAAAAATAAACAAGTAATATAATTTTTTTTAAAAGTCAATTCTTTCTTAGATCAACAAAGAAAATTTTCATTTTAGTTACTTTTTATTAAATAATAAAAAAAATTTCTCCCATATAAAACTAAAATAATTCAATTTAATTAATGAATTAATATCTGAAAAAATTGCATTAACAATAAGTGTAATCCACTACAAGTTTAAAAAAATATATTTGAACTTGAGTGGATGGAAAAAGAGTATTTTATTAACGATTGAAAATTTGAACAAAATATAGGCAAAATGAGAACTAATAGTAGGAATTGAAGAAAAAAAAGAACAACTAAAAACTAAAATTAACATAGTTCTACTAACTGTATTTGTTCATGACTGTGTAATCGATGCAAAACAGCAGCAGAATCTGGAAATTCATTTCGATTCACAAGCAAATTCACAAATGGCAAATCTCTATTCAATTTTGCTGAAAATGGTAAATGATATCACTAATTACATCAAAATATAAGTTACTAAAAATTTATTATTCTAAATTGAGTAAATAAATAAGAATAAATACTTTGAGTATCCACCCTCAGGAATCTTGAATCCAGATTCAGGAAGCATCGCTTGAATCTTCTTCTGACACGAGAGGGTCCTTCAGTCGGGTCCAATTCCCATGAATTTGGATAGAGATCATTTTGATACCATACAGCCCTAAGAGATGAAGCAAAACTTTGTAATTCATAATAGATAATACTTTAAACAAACTTCCTTTAATTTTTGGTTATTTAAAAAAAAAAAGTCTCGGGTATTAACTCGATTTTAATGAGAGTGACAGAAATTCTCCATGTTCTCTGGAAATACAGTTGAACTTCAGTCGGATCGCAGTTTTTCAAGGAACCAAGAACATTTTGGAAATTTCTTCGTAATACATATAATCTCCAAATAGCAAAGTAAATTTTCTATTTAACGAGCTTTTTTTTGAGATCCACTTTCCCTATTTTCCAAAATATTTCTGAACATTTCAAGCTTGTTAACGTATTTGATGGGGCAAATGACCTTGAATTGATTTTCAAAGCCACCTAATTTTTAGAGAAAGCAGTAAAAATCCGTTTCCCTTTTTGCTTGCATTTCAAACTGAAAACTCAGACAAAATTAACGGATTTTATTAGTAGCAATTAAACTTAAGAACACATGTGGTAATGTATGTTTAAAATTTCTTTTATAATAAACGTAGCTATAATTTCATACATAAATTTAGCTTTTTCAGGTGAAAATGTATGTAGCATGATAGTGTAAGATTGGATTATGTTTTGCTCTTTTCTTGTTTTCTATGCAGATTTTTTTTATGGCTAAGATTTATAAAATAAATAGTAGATACTAGTTTACAAGATAAAGGTGTATCAATTTCTATTTTAATTATAGATAGTGTTTATGAATTAAAAACCTGCTCTGTGTTGTTTAAGTATTTGAAAAGGCTATTTTCTATTTAACGAATTTTCCACATAACAAACTTATTATCAGGATTTAGCGTCTTCTTTAAATAGAGGAGTGACTATAAATTATTCCACTAATTTAATTCTCTGGCCTTAACCTGATTTTAATCAGATTGACATAAACTTGTTCTCTGGAGATATAATATTCTTCTAACTTAATTTCCTTTCCTTAATCTGATTTTAATAAGATTGACAAAAGTTTCTTGTTCGCTGGTCATCCTGAAAAACTAATCGTAGAACCATTGATCGAACACTGACACAACTTGAGACATAAACAGGGCAGGACATCACAGGCAGTGCCCTACTAATTTATAAGTTAATTTTTGAATAGCCATTGTAATAAGATTACAATAGCTTTACTATTCTTTAATACAAAATGTCCTTAATTTAAAAAACTTAAAACTTCACTTATTTAAAACAATGTAGGTTTTAAAGATTGGTATTTATTTATGTGTACAAATAAGTTTTCGACGACCGGCCTGTGTAGGGGGCAGGGAACTGTCCTTGCACCAGAAAGGTTTTGGGTTCGAATCCCGGGCAAGGCATGGATGTTCCTTCCTTCTCTGTACTATCTGTTCTCACTGTGGGAGCGACGTAGGCCCACCTACTATGGTGCCCCTGAAAGAGAGGCCAACAAAATCGCAATGTATATGCCTGAATTGGCGGATGTTAACACAGGTGGGCATTGGAAAAAAAAAAAGTTTCCACCGTTTTCTATAAACAATTAGCAGTTTATTGTGAAAAAAAACGATACAACATCTTTTAATCAAAGTATTCTCCATTACTAGACACTACTTTTCCCCATCTTTCTGAGAGCCGGCTACAACGTCGGAAGAACTCTTGTTAATTCGAGGATATCCAAGAATCAACTCATTCCTTGGTTTCTTCAAATGATGTAAATTTCTGCTCAGACTGACCATGTGCCATCAACTGGAATAGCTGATAATCTGAAGAGGCAAGGTTTGGCGAATACGACGGGTGGGGTAGGACTTCCCATTGAAGTGTTTCTAAATAGCAAAATCAATTTTCCTTCAAAAACGACATTCCATGTCTTTTGGCTTCAGTTTCAGTACCCCAACTTCCTTGCCTTTGGATCATTTCCGACAATTTTAAACGATGTGAAATTGCTTGCTATAATTTCGACCTTCCACTGCGTTCTTTGTCTTCCACGTCAAACTCACCATTTTTAAACTTCTGAAACCCCACTCACTACAAAAACAATTAAAGAATGCAAATACGGAATCACCAAATCTTTAAGGCTATGTTGTTACCAGATGACCAAACTCACAATAAGATGTTTAACACCTGTCAATTTCTACATAACCCTCTGGTAGTGCCATCTTGTGACGAATGGTGGGAACTTATTTGTACACCCAATAGTCAATGATACTTTCGAATTTTTTTTAATACTATCAATATACTACATTACTTTAACAATTGCTAACAATATACTATTAAAAACTAATTGATGTAAGAAATGGATTACTTTTCATGCGTCATTTGTTCAATGAGTCTTAGCCAAATTCGGCGTTCAGAAGCCTCTTCATAGTATTTCCTTTTCAATTCTTCTATGAAGTGTTTTCTTTCATTATTTTGTATCTCAAATACTTTTTGAGTCATATTAAAAGCTATTGATGACACATCTTGAGCCAACGATTCAAATTTCTGGAATAATCTGGAAAAAAAAGAAAGTTAAATTAACAAAAGTTTAGAACTTTACACTAATAAAAATGTTTGTTTTAATAAATAAATAAAAAAATAGTTGAGCAAAATTTACATTAAAAAAATGAGAAAACTAATTTTGTAGCATCTGATTCAGATTTGAAGAAATATTTTTAAAATTCATTACTTTAAATTCTGTAAAAACACAAATATTCAATATAAGAATTAAAATGTTAACAAAAATGGTTTTTAATGTTTAAAAAAAAATTATAGATTACGGTTGTTTTCTGGTCTGGTCTTGACTAATGTTTAGTATTTTTTCTAAGTTAAATGAAAGAACGAGTAATATAATGATTTAGTCTTATTTTGTCATGCTTCAAGTGCAATTTAAATTTTTTTAACCAAAATAATTATAAATTAACATATAAAAACGATAGTGATGATGGCAATGCACACCAAGTACTGTTGGACAGATGTTGTTCGATCACGCTTCTTTTTAGTCTGATACAGATGAAGTAAAAAATTAATGATTCTGTATTACTGCAACTATAATTAAAATAAAAAATATATAAAAAATGTCCTTTTTCACTAAATAGCAGCCATTTTAAAGAAGTTAATAGAAATCAACTCTTTCTGGCACTTAAAAGTACATAAAAAATTTTTTAAATTTTTGAAAAGTGTTTCATTTTTGGTCGTTCCAACCATAGCCAGATCATTTCTTAACAACTGCACAGTATAAAGTATCGGAAAATGCAGTAAAAAAAATCAATTTTTTGAAATTTCTAGACCAGAAAACCACTTAAAAATATTATTGCTGCACGAGGTTCTATCAAAATCCTATAAAGCAGAAAGTACTCAAAATGGAGACGTACGTAAAAAAATAATCAAAGTCTCTGCAGAGCAACTAATGTTTGGAGCAGAATTTTTTACATTCACGTCCTGCAAAACTATTTATGCACAAATCACACTGTTAATTATATATATTAACACCGTAGAGAAAGAAGTTTTTATTTTATTACACACTGTTACAAAGGAATAAATTCTACCTGTAAATTCCAATTTTATTTTATTATATAGGTAAACTTAATCTGACATTCAACTAATTATGCTTGCTATTATTGGATATACCAATATTTAATTAAGGTTGAGTTATGTTTAATTTTCATTTTGCAACAAAATAATTCATTATTTGAAAAATTGGTAATAATTTAATTAGTGATAGTTGTTCATTTTTAATGATACTCACAGAATGCTCGTAGTTATTAAAAATCATGTTGCATAACAATTTCATAATTCTGTTCCTGGACAAAATTTATGCAAGATTTAAAATAAACATATCTTGCCAATGCATTAACTTAAATATTTGCTGAATGCAAATTCATTAGATAAGAAAAAAACTAAAGAGACAGAATCTTTGTCTTCTGAATCTCGAGAAAAATGTCTTATAAGTTGAATATGATCAGATTATTGATACATTATTTAGGTTATATCAATCACAGCATTGATTGATACAATTAATCTACTGCTCTTTTTTATTTAAGTTGTATAAATCACAGCAGTAGCTGATACACCTTAAATAAAAAGAGTAGAATTTAAAAATAATTTGTGTCAGATAATAATTTCTATGAACTTATGGTGCATTTTAATATTATTCCTGATTGCAAGCATTATTGGTTAATTAGAAATCCACTAATTTATATTTATTTGCATTATTTATAATCACAGTAATCTGACTTAATCGGAAACACAACTATCTTGGATTATATAAATTTTCCTTTCATTCATTCAATTTATTTAATATGACGGCACTTCATTATATATTGCAGTCTCCATACGACAATGAAAAAGCCGATGCAGCTATACTATCAAATTAGTTAATTATATGGATCTAATATAAAAAAAATGCTTACTTTTCATTAGAGTTATTTAATGCAGCATACCATTTCAACCGATCTTCATTCCATAACTTAACCCATTCTAATTTCAACTAAAATGGCATAAGAAAAAAAAGAATTTCTTAATATGAGTTTTTACTTAGGGTTTCATAATATATTCAATAGATTAGACTTGAATAGATAAACAGTTTCATTTTATTTTTTAAACATTATTTAACACCAAATTTTTCCTTAAGGTATCTGAAGCAAACAATTGGAGCAATTTTTATAACTCTAGCAACAATTTTACCTTGGCCCTAGTTGGGTTTAAAATTGGCTCAATATGGTCTCTATAAGAACATGAACTGAGGGACCAATATTGGGATGTCTAGATTTTTGAATATTGGTCCTAGAATGGCCTTCATTAGCCAGTATAGAACCTACATTATGAATTCTGATGATGAATTCTATGATTATGAATTCTGATGATTAATTTTAAAATTGTATGAATATGAACCGAATGTATATGAATCACATGCATGATTTTAAAATCGTGTGAATAAGTATTGCAAGGTTTGAATTTAAATTTGCATGAATACAAATTACCAAAATCGTTCTTCTAGTATGTTACTGTAACTTATAAAGAGATTTCAGTTATTTGTAACTTTATCAACAGAAAATTCAATTATTACTTGAGGCAAGTTTTCTTATAACAGTTAGTGTAAATATTACAAACCACGTCAAACTCACCATTTTTAAACTTCTGNAAAATGAAAAAAAAGCAAAAAAAAGTTTAGTTGAATGGATTCTTCGCTTTAATTAACACTTAATGAGTGGTACAAAAAGATATGTCACTCCTCGAAAAGATGACATAACCTTGAACTTTAATTTCAGATAAGGGTAAATTTGGAAAAACGTAATACAAGGAAAGATACAATTGATTAGACATAGCTAGAAGTTCATAAAATAAAAGTACCATGAACAGGGAAGTAAAGATGAACAGGAAAAGCATGTCCTAATGAGGAGGTTCATGATGACATTTTTGGCCATAGGTTGCTATTCAATCATAATCGTGTAACCTATTTCCCCTTTACGTTTGGCTTATGATAATAGTAATATTTATAAACAATAGTTTACAATCTAAACACAAAATTATAATTTACTTTTTGAATTACTTGTGGCTGCCTAAAGAGGTCTACAACTCGTGCATCCTCCCTAAGAATCTCTTTGACAATTTTATACAGCAATATACCATTTCTTTTTATCTGCATTTCTGGATTTACCTGTAGATCAACTAAGAATGCAAATAATATTTCAACCTGTGAATAGAACTAACTGTTTACATTGACAATTTATGCATAAAATTAGTAAGTAAAATTTAGATTTAAAAAAAAAAACACATGTATATACAACAGAATAATATAATTTCCATTAATTAACCCCAGCAGTCATATTCAATTTATTCATAGTTATTATGCTGGTCAGAATTAATTTTTGTTGCATCATGCAATCTTGGATTACATGATGCAACAAAATTAATTCTGACCAGCATCATGCAATCAAGGGTTCTTGGTTGCATCATGCAATCAAGATTCAATCTTGGAAATTTGATGTTGTTTGAGAAATTCATTTCTTGTGACAAGAAATGAATTTCTTTTTTTAGAAGGACAAACACTATTACACTTTTGCATAATTTGTAAAATATTACTTTTAATAATGTACTTCTTCAAAATCAATCATCTTAAATAAACAGTATTGTTGGTGAACATACTTTTTTTCCCTTGTGCCGTACATCACACGACTGAAAGGATATAAAAAAGTGCAGAAACAAATCTTTGACATCCCTTTTGAAATATTTCAGAACAGATACCCACAAAAATATTTCTGCAACTAGTATTCTTCTAAGTTTCTGTACATGTTCAACACATGACTTCAAAATACTCTGTTAATATTTATAAATTTTTGTGCACATACATATCGTGTATTGCATGGAAGTTGAAAAAAATTATTTTAGTATTCAGAAGACTATTCAATTATAAGGAAATTTACCTGTTCCTTAGAACTTTTACCTGTATAAACTGAAGTTAGTATTCTCAAGCAATAATAATGGTTAATTCTTATTTACTTTCGTAATCGTCATTAAAAGTACCCTAGTTAGTTGAACGATAGTGTTATAAACCGGAATTATTCAAATGATCTTTTAAATATTACAGCTCAAACAGTATTTCTAGAAATAATATTTTCCCATTATGTTTAGAGACTTCTTTTCTCTTACATTTTGAGATTTAAGGACTGTCCATGAATGGTGTCTCAATATTCAAAATATTTTTTTCAATATTTTTGATCTTCTCTTCACAAGGGAGGAGATAAAAAAAAGATGAAAGGGGGATCATTTTGTCACAAGGGCTCGCATGTTATCATACCTATTACCCTCCTTTGTCATATGTAACACTATATTATGCAAACATACAATAACCGCACAAAAATAAAACACATGTAAAAATCATTATTCAAAATTTATTTTTAAAGACGTTTATCAGCAATAATAATGTTTAGGTTTGCCTTTTTTAAAAAAAAAAAAAATGTAAAACAAGTAAAAATAATGTGAGATGTCGCATTTCTTGTCACTAACCCCCTCCTTTCACTCCTTAGGAATGGCATCTAAAATGATTAATAAAACTTTATATTGTAACTAGAGGATTTCTCTTTTTTAAGTTTCCTGTTTATTCACAGTTAAATTTCTAACAGTCAAAACCATGATTTTGAGGTGTGTTCTAATGTGTGAGTTGCTGTTCCGTTGATTCGTTAAATGTGTTGAGTGCAACTAAATTAAAAAATTTATTAAGGATTATGTTAGACAATATGAAAACACCTTAATATCAATCCAGGACATACAGTAGGTTTTATGTTAGTAAACTTAAGCCTAACATAATTTAAATACCTAAACAATGGCACCTTTTACAATTTGTTTTTTAAATTTTTGTTATTTTACATTGTTTTTTTTTTCTTTTGGGAAAGTGGACTGAAAAATCTAGCAAAAAGTATTTTAATGTTCTTTGACCAGCGAATAATTGAGTGTTGTAAGTTTATTTTCAGGTTTTAGCCAAATGATCTAAAAAAAAAAACATTTTTTTTAAAAAAAGTTTTATTAAATGAAAATTAAATAGTTAAGGTTTAATAAGTGGTAAGTAATTAAACCTATCATTTAATTCATGGAAAGATATTTCTGTTTAGTTTTTTTTAAGTTGAATAGTTAAAAGTATAAATGAAGAAATCATAGTTTTTTTTTTTTCAAAACAAAAAGTAAACAAATTTTATTTTTATATCTTTTTCAAACTAGACAATTTATTAGATATTAACTAACTATATAATTTCTGACCATAAGTAATTAAAGGTTATAAGCTAAAACAATTATAAAAAATTCAAAATGTTTCAAAATTTGGTTTGAATTACTGCTTCTTAAGGAAAATAATTTTCACTTCATGAATACATTTTAAAAATTGTCTTTTTTAACCATGCAGAACCTGTAGCGAATTACATACATCTTTGCTGGTAGTTAACCTCATATATATTAATTATTTAGTGATAACTATAAATTAAGTTACAAAATCAGAAATAAAAACATACATTCTCCGAAAAAGCATGGCTCTTTTAGATCAAATTGCTATCAAATGTGGGGGGGAGGTAACCGCTATTTTCAAAATGTGATCCCACTAGTTTGGTCATAACAAAGGTTGAAAGTTAGAGCTTTTTTTAAATTCTTTGCAATTATAGCTCTAAATCCTGATTTAACATTTCAGGTAATTCTTACCTCTACTTATGAAACTCGAGAATCTAAATACAATTTCAAAGAAAAAATAATTTTCTAAAGCTATTTATTACTTTTTAATAACTGAAAAAAGGCCATTTAAATTTTCGATTCATTTTAAACTATGCAATTTTAAATGACTAAATACAAAATCAAACAAATTGATCAAAAAGTTTTTGAGAAATTAAGAATACCACTTTTTTTTTGAAAATATTTAACCTAGAAACTATTCAACTAATTTCTTTCAACACTAGTGTTTTGTCATTTCAAATTAGATAGTTTAAAAAGTTGTAAAAATTTGTAAGCTTAAACTAGTTGGAAATTTTCAAGTAATATTAAATAAAGTAATAATTTTTTTAACCAATTAATGAAAATCTGTTTTTTTCCAAGGGCAAACGAATTTCATAAATGAGGCAAGAATTTTTGAATTGTGCGATTAGTTTTAGAGCTATTATAAAAAATTGAATTAAACATTAAAAGGCCCAACTGTCGACAACTCTCCTGACTAAATTATTGGGACTATATTTTCCAAATGTCAATAATATTTGCCACTGAATCTGATACCCGATTGCTGTTACTTTATTTTAAGCTTTATTGAATCAAATTGTGATTTCAGTTAAATAGCTGCCAACATGAATAGAAAAAAAAACAGTAAATTTTAAGAATATAAATTTCATGATAATTGCTGCAAAATATACTAAATATTTTACACATAGGGAATTCTAGGGATTTTTATAGTCATCAAAATAGAAAAACTGCAATATTTTCCAGTTATGATTGATATTAATAATTCCTAAAAGATATTTAAAAGAATTTTTTTAATTAATTTAAAAAGAGAGTTTTGAATAAAAATAAACTGAACAATTTAATTTTAGAACAAAAAAGTTTTAAACTGATTTCTATAAATGAGGTTCACTTCTTTATGTATTAGTAATACTTATTTAAATAGTCAAGCAAGCAAGCAATAATCAGTACAAAAATTCTATTTCAATAGGGATTTCCTTAGGAATCTTACTCAATTTTAGAGAATTTTCTAAAATGTACAAAAACCAGGAGAAACTGGCAAAATCCAGTAGAGTTGGTAGGTAAGCAGTTAGATTTCAGAAACTTTTCAGGAGCAAGCACATGAAAAGTTATGCGTTATCTTTTTGCAATCTTTAAGTTTTAAATAAAAGAACCACAATTATGTCACTGTTCTTTTTTTGTTATGACATTTTGATGTTTTCATAATAGACAGGAAATTTACTTGCAACGTTAGGTTACGTTTCTGCAACCAGTGAAATATTTCAATGTAATGTATTTGTATGTAACTATGACATTTGGTACTGTATGGGGTTGTTTTCAAAGGAAAGATTACTATATACAATTTAAGCATATAGAAGAAAAAAATATGAAATGCATTTATTAAGAACGAAGAAATAAACTCACTCACTTTGGTAATAGTAAAAATAACTAGTCGTAGAATTTTGCTACTTAAGGGGTGAGTTGATAAAACATCTACCACATATTCCTTAATAAAAACATCTTGACTTGGTGACAAAAAAGAAAATATTAAAAGACCAAGCTAAGTGGAGAAAGAAAAAAAAATTATTAAATAACTTCATGCTAAATATGAACGACAAAGTTGATTTATGAGTATGCATGTGAAATTGCTTTAAAAAAAAGAGATGAAAGGAATATATTTCAAATTACTTGGTTTTTCAATGAGTCCTTTATGCAAAACATAAGATTGGAATATTCCTGTTTAGCTGTATTTATATTTCTGACCTGAAAAAAAGTAAAAGATATTTCGTTGCAAAATTATCCGTATAGCTACATAATGTCATTAGACAAGGTATTTATATAGCATCCTTACAAATGCATAAAAAAAAAGTTGTAGTGTTCAATAATGAAAGATTTTATGAAAGATTAGAAACTTAGGTACATGGTTAAAAAGATTTTAAAAGAAGTAATAAATAAAATAAAAAAATTCTAAAACCAATTCCTACATAAGTCAACAAAGAAAATTTTTTATTTTAGTTATTTTTATTAAATAATTAAGATTTTTCTCCCATATAAAACTAAAATTAGTTAATTAAATTTAATTAATGAATTAATATTTAAAAAAACTATTAACATCAAGTGTCATACACTACCAAGTTTAAAAAAATACAGTACAAAACCCGTTATCCGGAAATCAGAAAACCGGAAAACCAAAAAACCGGAACAAAATTCGATAAATTTTCCTGCGATTTTTTTAAAAAGATGTTTACCTTACCATCAGTTTAGAAATAATCATTAGTGTATTACTTCATCGTTTTTTCTTCTTTTTAAGATAATTTCCAAATATATATATATATTTTTTAGTTGGGTTTAACGATAAAAAAACGGCTTTTTGTAGCGATTCAGAAAACCGGAAAAATCAGTTATCCGGAATAGCGATGGTCCCAATCGTTCCGGATAATCGGTTCCCTACTGTATCTTTGAACTTGAATGGATGAATAAAAAGTATTTTTATTAACAATTGAAAATGTGAACAAGATATATAAATATTTATATTCCTATAGATACACTCTCCTGGGTGTTCAATTTCTACTAATAGTTTACACTCTTCCGAATGTAAACTATTAGTAGAAATTGAAAAAAAAAGGTGTGTGGTATTAAACAACTATTAAAGTATAAATTTAGTGACTTTGACCACACGTGCTACAACATAATGTTCTTTATTGAATTTATCTGACACAGCGAATATAAAATAATAAATAATTAAATGCATGCAGTAAACTTTTTGTTCAAATATGAGTTAGAAATTATCACCGATGTTATCTTTAAAATAGGTGAAAAATTTAATAGCATACAGTAAAATTTAAAACAAGGGCTAACACTTAACCTATCAGAAAATTCCATTTTTTTTTTTGCTCATCCTTATTTAATTAATGAATTAATATTTCGAATAAACTGTATTAACATCAAGTATCGTAAACTAGAAGTTTAAAAAAACGTATTTGAAGTTGAGTGGATGAATAAAAAGTATTTAATTAACTAATGAACATTTGAACAAGATATATTGAGAGTGTGAACTAATAGTAGGAATTGAATAAAAAAAAGCAATTGAAGGTAAAAAAGCAAAAATAGTAGGAATTGAAAAAAAAGCACAGAAATATTGCTTTGTTATATAAAAAAAGAAGGAGATGGAAATAAGTAAGAATGAATAGAATTCACTCATGGAATGTTGGAGACTAGTTGGTTTAATTAAATAAGGTTTTTTTTCTTTGGAATTTTTTACATATACCAGTATAATCTCTGATGTATTAATAATGTTTAATATTATTTAAAAACAATATTGTGTTTAAAAAGTACTTTTTTCTTTCTAATGGTTAAATTCATTATATAATAATTACAAACTATTCATTGAAAATATAAAATCATAGTTATTTTAATCAAAGCTTAACACTTTCAGCAAATTTGCACAGAAAAAATTTGCCATCAAATGAAAAATTAATTAATTTAGATCAGGAAATATATACATATAAAAACATTTATTCTGGGTTACTTCAAGCAGACTTCATCATTATTTATATATAAAAATATGCTTATATTTTAAAAATATTATTTTTATATAACCATGAAACTAAATTGGCATAATTAAATATTGTTTATAAAATAACAAGTTATTTTTGGATGGAATTTTTACTAGTTATGATTTACTTATGTTTATTTACTAATGGAAAACTTTAGTTTAAAGCTTTCTTATTCTTTTTTTTATCCACAATTATTCTTTTAATTTTTAAGTCTCTTTTATTCATCAAATAACAATTTACATACATTATCCTCTCATTATTTCTCTGGATAAAACCATCAATATCAATGAGATCGAATTTAAAAAAAAGACTTCAAAACCTATTGCTTATAAACTATATTGTTATCACATTGCTCATAAAATAAAAAGTTATTTATGCGGAGCTAATGGAAAAACTTTAATTTAAAGGTTTCTTCTTTTTTTTTCCATAATCATTCTTTTAATTTTTTAGTCTCTTTTAACCATCAAATAATTATTTACATACATTAACCTCTCATTATTTCGCTGGATAAAACTATCAATATAAATTAGATCGAATTTTCTTTTTTTTTAAAAAAAAAGACCTCACAACCTATTGTTATTATTAACTACATTGCTACTATTAACTATATTGTTATATATACTGTATTGTTATAACATTGTTTATAAATATAAAGTTATTTTTGTACAGCTAATGGAAAACTTTAAGGGTTTCTCTTTCTTTTTTATCCACAATTATTCCTTCAATTATTTCGTCTCTTTTAACCGTCAAATAATAATGTATATACATTAACCTCTCATTATTTCTCTGGATAAAACCTTCAATATCAATGAGATCGAATTTTAAAAAAAGATCTCACAACCTATTGTTTATAAAGTATATTGTTATATATGCTATAGTGTTATAACATTGTTTATAAAATAAAAAAGTTATTTTTGTTCAGCTAATGGAAAACTTTAATTTGAAGGTTTCCTGTTCTTTTTCATTGACAATTATTCTTTTAATTTTTAAGTCTCTTTTAACCATCAAATAATAATTTACATACATTATCCTCTCATTATTTCTCTGGATAAAACCTTCAATATCAATGAGATCGAATTTTAAAAAAAGATCTCACAACCTATTGTTTATAAAGTATATTGTTATATATGCTATAGTGTTATAACATTGTTTATAAAATAAAAAAGTTATTTTTGTTCAGCTAATGGAAAACTTTAATTTGAAGGTTTCCTGTTCTTTTTCATTGACAATTATTCTTTTAATTTTTAAGTCTCTTTTAACCATCAAATAATAATTTACATACATTATCCTCTCATTATTTCTCTGGATAAAACCTTCAATATCAATGAGATCGAATTTTAAAAAAAGATCTCACAACCTATTGTTTATAAAGTATATTGTTACATATACTATATTGTTAGAACATTGTTTATAAACTAAAAAGGTATTTTTGTTCAGCTAATGGAAAACTTTAATTTGAAGGTTTCCTATTCTTTTTCATCGACAAATATTCTTTTAATTTTTAAGTCTCTTTTATCCACAAATAATAATTTACATACATTATCCTCTCCTTATTTCTCTGGATAAAACCATCAATATCAATGAGATCGAATTTTAAAAAAAAAAGACTTCACAACCTATTGTTTATAAACCATAACGTTATAACATTGTTTATAAAATAAAAAATTATTCATGCATAGCAAATGGAAAACTTTAAGGTTTCTTATTCTTTTTTTTTTCATAATCATTCTTTTAATTGTTTAGTCTCTTTTAACCATCAAATAATAATTTACATACATTATCATCGCATTATTTCTCTGGATAAAACCTTTGATATCAATGAGATCGAATTTTAAAAAAAGACCTTACAACTTGAAGAACAGTTGATTTAAAACATGCCAAAACTGTTCTCAAATGCGAAACTTTACATTTTAAATCAGAAATTTCAACTGCCTAATCTCAAAATTACATACAGAGACAAATATTATTCCTGCCAGTAAGATATTTCTCTGTCGCACACTACCAACATCGATGCAGATACAATTTGGCTCATTCTTTATCAGAAGATGCCCCTAAACTATTAGAATTTGCAGGTGGAGTGCATGCAATTAAAACAGAATCATGTATAATTCACATAATTGGGTACTTGGAACACAAAAAGAAGATCACTAATACCTGACCTCAGCACCAGCTGGTTGTTTATAAACAAAATGGCCTATTAATATCCTGGATATTGCTGACTAAAGTAGAGCCTTCACATAAGTTGGAATGTTAATTAAAGTGAAGTAAATTAAATAATAAACCCTACAGCTTATTGAATTGGTAAAAATGTAATTTTTGTGTCTTTTATTTAATTTAAATCAATTATTTGCTTAAGTATTTTACTGTAATCATAATTATTTTTTTCGTGTATCTGACATCTTCATTGCATAATTAATTAGTTTATGTTGTACATAGTTTTGTGCATGTGTTTATGTTAAGTAAGAAATAAACCAAATCTAGAAAGAGAAAAAAAATAATATAGAATGTGTTGCTTCAGAAAATTCATATTTGCCAGACTAGGCTTACTCAAACTAAAATGAAAAGAACAGTTGATAAGAAAAACAAATGCCAAATTTCAACAGCTAATCAGGATCACTTGCAGGTATCCAATTGTGGAGTATTATAGAGCGAGATGAGAAGAGCCATTTACTCATTGTTATTCTGTACATAATGTTGTTTCTTTGGTTTTAACAAAAATAGTATTACTATGTCTCAAAATGTTTTTGTTTGAAACTGTATGCGCCTACAAAATGCTGTATATGCATATCAAAGACAAATTAAACTTACGATAGTACTGCTAATTCCTTTCATGCAGAAATTGAAAAAACTTTTCACAAATTCTCTTTCATAATGGCTTATCTTGATTCTTGGGTNTTTTATTTTTATTAATCGATGTCAAATAGATAAATATATTTTTCTCTTTCATCTTCTGTTCACTGATATGCATGTGCAATGCATTTTCCCCACCCCCTCGTAAATCAAACTAGCAAACGAAATCATCATGCCACTCCTTTGAGTTTAACGACCTAAAAGAGAATAAAGATCTAAAATCTTCAAGGTCGCGGAAGAAATGACGTTTCTCTGGGTAAACGGGGAAAAAAATTCTTCCCTTCCTCACATTTTCCTCTACTCAACTTCAAGGATTAGTCCAGTTTACGCTTTTTTTTTTCATATCGTTTTAGTTCAAAATGGCGGGAGAACCGAGCAAATTTTTTTTTCGGATTATCTGGATACCAGATAAATGGTTCTCTACTGTATGCATGAAAAAAAGAGTTACAGACTTAGCTCTCCGCAATTAAGTCTTGCTAAAGTCATTGGTACATGATTTGTTGAAATTGATCCATACTTCCGTTTCGACTTAAGACATCCTTGAAATTTTTTTTTTTTAAATATACGAAGACTAAACGAATAATTGATATCACGTTGCTAGTTTACGAGCTTGTTGCCAACCGTGGAAAAATACGCATTAAAAACTATAAAAACAGCAAGATACAATATCAATTCCAACTATCGAGAGTACGAGTTTCCCCACTCCTGAACGGACGTCACTCGATAACGACATGTGACGTCATTGCATTCAACTCCACAAGAAAGAAGAGGAAGATTTCACCCGCCCCCAGTGTAAGGGGGCGGTTGAAATAGGAGTGTTTTTAGAGGTAACGTTGAAGAGGGGGAAAAATAAAGCATGTTCAGCTACGCTTCAGGCAGATGGTAGTTTGATAAGAGGGGATGGAATTCAAGCTGAAAGAAAAACTCACCTTCACACTCGCGGAAAAATTAGGTAATTTTGAGTTTGGCCGTCGATCGCAGTAAAATTCGGGAGTTTTTCAAATCAATTCCGGAGGGCGGGAGAATAACTCAAAATTCGGGAGACTCCCGCAAAATGCGGGAGAGTTGGCACGTCTGCCTATTAATATCCTGGATATTGCTGACTAAAGTAGAGCCTTTACATAAGTTGGAATGTTAATTAACATGAAGTAAATTAAATAATAAACCATATAGCTATTATTGAATTTGTAAAAATGTAACTTTTGTGTCAACATCTTTTATTTAATTTAAATCGATTATTTGCTTAAGTATTTTACTGTAATCATAATTATTTTTTTCGTGTATCTGACAACTTCATTGCATAATTAATTAGTTTATGTTGTACATAGTTTCGTGCATGTGTTTATGTTAAGTAAGAAATAAACCAAATCTAGAAAGAGAAAAAAAAATAATATAGAATGTGTTGCTTCAGAAAATTCATATTTGCCAGACTAGGCTTACTCAAACTAAAATGAAAAGAACAGTTGATAAGAAAAACAAATGACACATTTCAACAGATAATCAGGATCACTTGCAGGTATCCAATTGTGGAGTATTATAGAGCGAGATGAGAAGAGCCATTTACTCATTGTTATTCTGTACATAATGTTGTTTCTTTGGTTCTAACAAAAATAGTATTACTATGTCTCAAAATTTTTTTGTTTGAAACTGTATGCGCCTACAAAATGCTGTATATGCATATCAAAGACAAATTAAACTTACGATAGTACTGCTAATCGCTTTCATGCAGAAATTGAAAAAACTTTTCACAAATTCTCTCTCATAATGGCTTATCTTGATTCTTGGGTCTAAAATAAAATAAAAATTGAATAAAAACTTTTTGTTTAAATTTCTATTACATCTAAAAACATAACTGTGAATAGTAAGAAGACTATTTGATTCTGATATAAATATAAATTTAGTGAGATTATTCAGAATAACAGGAAAGTCATCCTCTACATATGCTGTAAAAATTCGAAGTAAAATTAAGTTGCATACTCATTTTACACATATTTCCCCTTTTTTAATTATTAAAAAAGCAATCATCTTACTAAAATTTCAAAAATTTAGATTTTTCCATAAAATATAACAATTTGATTACATTTTGAAGTATTTTTCACTCAGTATTAGCTGTGTTTTGCAAGTTTAACTGATTCCATTCATAAATGATATCACTATATTTTACATCCTTTTTTAAAATAAAATTTAAGACTATTTAATTGAATTTAATTGCAAAATGATATGCTTAATTTCCTCCTATAAAAACAATTAAAAATTATGCACATGAGTTATTTTTATCAATATTAACAAAACAAATTTTTGGGAGATAAAAGAAATATATTGGTAATTATGTATACATACGTATTTTCAATAACTTAAAGGTGTGATTATGAGTAATGCAACATAAGAAAAATATTAATAGACGGTTCTGCACTTTACCGCTAGTGAGTTAAAATGGACCAAAAACCTTTGATTGTATATTTGTTTATTTCTTCATTTTTCTTGTAAGGGAGCACTGAGAATTTTTTGAATTGCAAAGTCAAATCTTGCAAGTTTTGATTGGCAGAGATCCAAAATAGGTTGGCAACTTATGGTGTTACCCCACTGAAACAAAAAAAATCGCAGGTCACATAATTCTTGATATGTGTGTGGGGAATTTTTTGTGGTGATAGAAGTTTAGTATGAAGGTAATGGACCTTACATGTTTTTTTTTAAGTGTGACAAAAATAAAACTGTTTTCTCCTTTATTTTATCCAACTTGAAATACATATTTTTAATAATTTTTTAAATTTATTTTAAATTATGTTCCTACTTTTTTAAAAAATAATGAGTCGGTTAATTTGTTTATGTTGTATAAATGAAGAAATTTTGATTGGTGATTAAAGGGAGAAAAAATTTAGGGGGATTTTACTATTTCCTGATTCCTAGCAGCATTCAGGAAAATGTAATTCCTAGCAGCATTCAGGAAAATGATTCAGCAGCATTCAGGAAATGATGCTCCAGTTGAAATATGAGTACTCCAGCTATTTGGAAAGTGGTAGGAATTTTGATTTACAATACACTCTATTTGAAGACAAATGCTAGTTATAACTTTTAGAAAACAATCAAAGCTCCAATTGTCAAGGTATAGAGTACTACATAGTTAAGATTCAAGCACTTTATCTAGACAAAAAAAAATAATCGAAATTTTGAATGGTGATAATTTCCTTTGGTGATAAATTTTTCTAGTAACCCTCATAAGACGAGTATTGTTATAAGACACTAATTCAAATTTGCTAGTTTCAGCTCAGACAGTGGTCAAACTTTTTATTAATAATAAAATTTCTTTAATGATAAAGGGCAATAGACGAATAAAATTCTACTTTTAGTAGTTAGGAAACAATTAAAACTTGTACTGTCCTTTAGGAAAAAACATAAAGTTAAACTGGAATGCTCTAGCTAGTTGAAAATTAGTCGGAAATTTGATAGGACATATATTTAGGAAACAAAAAAATTTATTTTTTGAATTTTATCTTTATATGTTGCTTTCTTGTAAATAAAATGTTAAACTATTACATTAAAACAATAGTTATAAATTTATAGATATTACTCAATAGTTATATTTAAAAGTAGTTTTTTAGTTAAAAATTAATCTATTTAAATTATCATACTGAATATTTAAAGAAATTAAAAGCTTGAATTTTAAAATCCCTCCCAGAAAATATTTCAGACAGCATGTTACTGATGAGAGAGGAGGAATGAAAAGCACAAAAAACATTTTTATATAACCTTTGAACAGCTTCTTTCATGGGTATGTAATTATTTCTGTTATTAGGGTGCATAGCCAAATCTCTCAACAAAAAATAAGTACCTTTTAAGTACTCTTTAAGCACTCAAAAAATATTTTTAAGCACCATATACATTAACAAAATGCAAAATAATTTTCAAAGACTTTACATGATCATGATGAAATACCTAACTAGTTTCTGGCAAAGAACTCTTTTCTCGATTATATTAGCCATTAAAAATGATCAAGAGATTTTTTGGTTCGATTTCCGAAGGTGGAAAATGAAGCCTGAAATTGAGAATATCTTGCAAACAACAGCAGAGTTGCACATGAGAGTGCAATATTCTCACTGGGCCTAGCTCGGTAGATGCTGTACAGACTCGCAAGTATTTCACAAAATATGTAAAATGATTGGCACTTTCATATGTTATGGACCAACGGTATGCCGAAATGGATTGTTATTGAAGGAATAGTGAAAACGTTGAATAGAACAATTTGAAAAGCACGCTTTTGCATAATACCTGGCGAAAATCGAAATAGTAAAGAAAAAAAAATCTAATTTTCAAAAAGGGAAAATTAAGCACTTTTTAAAAACGCTATGCACCATATCTATATATAACGAGTGAACTTCGAAAATTCCTTCCTTAAACCTTAATTTTAACAAAGCTTAATTTTCTTAATTTTTAACTAAGCAAGTTTTACTAATTGAAAAAAACATTTTCTCCTGAGATATGCCTGGCTTTAAAGCCAATAAAAACTTATTTATGAATTAATCAAATGAAAAAAACAGATAACAATAAGAAAATAACCTTTAAAAACAATAAAATGTGTAATAGCTTCAACCAATGACTCCAGTCTTTTGATGACTTCTGAAGTCGGCACATCTCGCCAGAATTTGTCTACATCAATGTCAGCTGTTGATTTCTGTTGTTGAATATCGTCCGTACTCACTGCAGCATGGTGAGCAGAGAAAGTGCCCAAGCTTTCTTGCAGTTCACTGAGAAGTTCCCACACAGATGAGGCCTTGTCTTTTTAATACATCAATGAGTCAATAAATAAAAGAAAAAAAAGAAATAATTTTATTGAGTCCAAAACTTATTGATCTTCAATAGCAGTAATCAATTTTCTCAAATGCAAGGTTGCCACAGAAAAAATTAACAATATAGTTGCGTTCAGTAGCCTAAAGCATGAAAATAGTTGCCGAAAACTAGTAAAATAGCTGCCTAAATAAGAACAAAAATGTGACTAAAATTTCATTAAATGACTTAATTGCTATATACCATGATCATTTAGTCAAGTTTCATGTTGGCAAAAATGATCATTTCAATATAAACATTAATGTTCTAGCACTAACTTTTTATATCAAAAAAATTAGTATACTTACAGACAATAAAATACTTTTAATTACTGGAAATCATTCAAAAAAAATTTTTTTTATTAAAAAAAAACACACACACACTTTTTCTGTTTAATCAATAATTATTTTAGCAAATATATATATGTATACATATTGTGAAAAGTGATTATTCAAATTCAAAATTCACGCATCATAACGTTGTATTAAAAATTGGGTTTTTAAAATCATGCAGAATCTCGTAGCAATAACCGTTGAAAAGGCGATGGAGGAACAAAATAGAATCACTTGAAATCTGTGCAAATTGAGCACATTAAAAAGTGATGACTCAAATTTACAATTCAAAATTTTTTTACTTTTTGAGATTTTTTTTCTTTTTTGTGTTGAAAAGCTACCAAAGGCTGCAGGTTGTGAGCCCAGTTTATACTAAAAAAAAACATAGCTAGGAGCACAGAAAAGTCTCCCAATAGTCTCCTTTTAAAGAAAATAGTTACTTTTTTTTAGCCTTTTCAGGCAAACAAAAGTTGCCATAGTCGCCTCAGGTTGAAAATAGTCTCATTTTAGTCTCCTGTGGCAACCAACTCTTCAAATGTTGAGAAAACTCATACATTTATAATTTTTTTTTTTAAATGTCTCAATATAGAAGTGCAGTAAAAATGGATAAAATTTAAAAAACAATAATTTTTTTAAAATTATATGTATGAAACATAAAAAACTTTATCTAAACAAAGGTAATGAGGGATAAAGGTAATAAGAGACTCTATTAAATATTATGTTACAATTATTGACACAATATTAAATTACATTAGTTACAATTTTTAATAACTGTAAAACAATATATTGCTTTTATATGTATAATGATAAAAGGGAAAACAATTCTAAAATAGTTGCTCAGAAATGTTTTTTTAAAAAAATAAAACAAGATAATTTTGATCAAAGAGTTGACGTACAGCTGACATAGTAATTTTTAGAGTGAAACACATACAAAGAAACGATTAAATCTGAAATGTACAGTTTTTTTTATACAATTGAATAACGTAATAGGCCTTCCCTCATAATTGAAAGAAAATGCTGAATTAATTTTCGTTTTCTAATTTTCAAATATCTATTTTAACCTACCTCTAATGGGAGAATGCTCAATCGGTGGATGGAAACTGGGAGTCTCAGAAAATTCAAAAATAATCTGATAGATATGACATAAACATTTTCTCCAGCACAGTAAACAGTGCGAATCAGCACCTAAAAGAATGAATAAATAATATAATCATAAATTCCGACGAGCTTTTGTGCTGCATTTAGATATACAAATCCTAACTTATAAAAACAGATAAATGGCTGTTCTACATCAGTGTTTCCCAAACTTATGACTTTCGTGTACCTTTTCTAAGTTTTTCGTAACGCTGTGTACCACTAATAAAAAAATGAATGTATTGTAATGTTTGGCAACTGTTTGGCGATCGTTCAGGCGCACTTGGCGCATTGTGTCACCCCTTCGGGGGCATGCTAGGAATCGAGGGAGAGGTATGTTTATATTGGTCGGGAGAGGTTCTCCCTTGGTTGTTTAAGAGCTGGATGCTCGAATATAAAAATAATGACTAGTTTCTTTTAATTTTTAATAAAGTTAAGTTTATTATTATGAAAATCTGGTGTGATTATTTGTATGGAATATAGTCATTACATGTATTTTCTACTATAAAAACATTGCACAAAAGTTAAAAATCACAACTGGCTGTTGACACCACTAATTATTAACTGTTAACTCTGCAAAAAAATAGCCAGTAGAAAAATATGTAATTGCAACTTTTAATTACTAGCTTTGTTTTTAAATATAAGATTTTAATATTTCCGTTTCTTGCAAGATATTTCTTGTAAGATCGCGTACCCCGGCTAAACTGTTCCCATACCCTTGGGGGTACGCGTATCACACTTTGGGAAACACTGTTCTACATGATCATATCTACCAACAATGGAGAAATAAAATAATGGAGATTTTACTAGCGACATTTTTTAGGTTAGGACCTAAAGTTTTCATACATTATGCATAGTCATGCAAGTCAAAAAGAAAAATTCAAAATTGGAAATAATATAAGCACTTACATTTAGCGAAGAAAAAAATATGTATATAAATTTTAATCTAAAGAAGATTTTTTTAAACCACTATTTATAATTACTTAAACTATTTTATTTTATAACCATCGTTGAACAGCAACACCATAGACCAGGGGTGGCGACCCTTTATACATCAACGTGCCATTTTTCTAAAAAATTTTTTTAATGAGGTCATAGACGTGCCGTCAAATAATTTTGACTTCGTGATTATAGGGAAAATAATAATACTGAACACTATCAACTCAAAACTCCTTATTTACATTGAAATAAAATACATTTTGCAATGTCTGAGTTATACGCATAATTCAACTTAAAGTAACATCAGTGTGACTTCTGTTGTTGCAGATTAGATGACAAATAACTTTTATTAGGTTGTAAGATGTTAGTTTAAGCAGGACTCTTAAATTATTTTTGCTAGTTATTTATTGTTAGCTTGTTTTTTATGGCTATTAATTGTTTTTTTAGCATTAATTGTTAATTTTTTTTATTAATAATTACTTATTATTTTGTTTGTTTTTCCTGAATTTTAATTTAATTGTTACATATGCTTCAATTGTGATAGGTGGCGTGCCCAAAATATTGTGTCGAGTGCCATAAATGGCACGCGTGCCATTGGTTCGCCATCCCTGCCATAAACTATTGTCATATTTTGTATTAGGAGTACAGTGCACCAAAAAAAAGGACCACAGTGAATAACTTTTGATTAAATGATTGGATTTGCACGTTCTAGGATTCCTTCTCAATAATTCGAGAACGTGACCTCAAATATGCTAATTAATTAGTGCAGACATTTTAAGTTACGAAATCAGACACAAAAACATACTTTATCCGAATAAACACATTTTTTGTGTGGACAGATTTCAATTTCTGACCCCCAAATAAAGGGGGTAGCACAATCTGGGAAATATGGTGTTCATAGTTTAGTCAGGACAGTAATGCAAAGTTTGGACCCCTTAAATCTAATTTCACTTTTTGCGTATTTTTCCACTTCTTGAGATTTTTTTTAAGCAAATTGAAAATTTCGCACACAATTATGAAATTCAAAATTCCAAAGATAATTTTGAAAAAAAAATAGTTTTAGTAAATATTTATTATTTTATTTAAAAATCGTCGAAAAAATTTTGAATCAAGGTAAACAATTTTTTAACATCATTTTAAAGTATAAGATTTTAGATGGCAAAATACAAAGTTTTAACAAAATCGGTCCAATAGTTCCTGAGAAATCAAGTTTTAAATATGCTACTTCGTTAAAATTTGATTTCTCAGTTTCAAATCTTGTATTTTGCCATGAAAAATCACATTCTTTAAAATGATGTAAAAAGTTTTATACCTTACAATACAAAATTTTTTGCACGGAATTATCTTTAGACAAAAAAAAAATTATGTTTGTGAGTAAAATTTTTTTGATTCGCTTAAAAAGTTCTCGAGATATGGGGAAATACATAAAAAGTAAAATTTACATTAAGGGGTAAAAAGTTTGGCGCCCTCTTCTGACCAAGCTATGGGGACCATATTTCCAAGATTGCGGCCCTCCCTCCTACATTTTGGGGGTTTTAGAAATCCGAATCCGTTCAAAAAAGAGTATGTTTATTCAAAGAAAGTATGCTTTTGTTGATTTTGTAACTTAAAATAGAGTCTTCAAAAATTAATTAGCATATTTGTGGTTACCCCTTCAATTCATTTAGATTCAGTCCTAAAGATCCGATCATTAGTTTAAAAGTTACTCAGAGTTATCCTTTTTTTTGGCACACTGCACAACTTTAAACTTTTAGTGTAAAAATAAATACTTATTTTGCAGTTTTTGATGTATGAAGCAACATAAGTGAGCCTGTAAACTCTTCTGTAAAATATGATCAAAAGTCAGCAATTAATTACAAAAAGACTTACCACATTCTTCGAGGCATTTTTTCTCCAAAGCAGTAAACAAATTCACAGAATTTGAAAGAGCATAAAAGTGTTTCCCATTTTTAGAGCTGAAACACAAATATTTATGTTAATTAACTACAAATTGATTTAATATTTTTATGTTCCATAAAATTCATTTGTATATTTATAATAAAGTAGAAAAACTATTTGCTACTGAAATTTTTAATGAACAAAAGAAACATGTAGATTATATTGTACACAAAACCTTTTTTTTTTTGTTTTTAATTATTTTAACAAAAAAAGGAAATATTACAAAATAATAAATTAATAATTAAAAAATATTAAATAAAAAACTAATTATTTTATAATGATATAAAAATATTTACAAAGTGTACAGTTAGTTTCTTTTAATTTAAAAAAAAATGGAATTGTAATGTGGAAAAAGTTTTATTTCTTTAAAAACTTCTCTTTTCTTCAGTAGCCTATTTCTGAAAAACAACTGCTGTGCCTAGCCTTCGGGCAGAGTGACTAGGATGAAAAGAGGTGTAAAGAGTTTAATTAACGCTGGAGGTTTTCGTGGTCTTCCTCTCCATGTAACACAAATGAGGGTTGGCTCTATCAAAAAGTCATCCACGAAGGCAAATTTGTCCCAATACTCGATTCAGGAGTTCCCTTGTCTTCTGGATTGGGTTCAAAATGACAAGGATTGAACATTAGTAGTCGTAAACCCAAAATTGGGTCGGCTGTTCAACGACATTTATAAAAGAAAATAAAGTTAAAAATCTTATGTTTTTTAACAACACTTTTTAGTTTAGAAAGAAAAATTTAATTTGATGCACGGCAATTCAAGAAAGTACTAAAAATAAAGAAATCTAAACTTTATATTAAGAAAAATATAGGTCAAAAAACTTTTTAATTCTTTTAATTAGGACACTTTATGGCATTTTTTTCAAAAATATAGAAAAAATAGAAAATACAGGATAACTGTGAGGCCTGGTAAAGGCATGAAGCACGTTTGATCGCTGACTGGTAAAAAGTGGTCTGTGGTTTTATGGAAGCACTGTATTTATTGCTAAACATTTGTATTGGTCATTTAAAACCATTGGTCACATTAACCATTTATCCACTTGTCTTACAGTTTTTTTCCAGTATCTTTTGATGTCGTACAAAAAATATGCATCTTCTAGAAAAATACAAAACCTGGTACCCTACCACGAGCTCCCTGGAATGTATTTAGTGATCTATCCCCATACAGAACTGAGAAACAAAATCTTGCATTTCACTTCATTAAAATAAATGTGCATTATTTAAGAATTTATTTAACCTATTAGTTGCAGCTAGGAGAAAAAATTTTCCTCTGGTTACGGCGCATTTTTGCAGAAATTCCCCCCCCCCACTTAGTCAGTAACTACTTAGGCCAGCTATGAATAGGAAACATTTTGTTGTAATTTGTATGCCACATTTCTTGGAGGCAGAAGTTGCAGGGTTGTAGTGTGCATTGTTATCGGCGGATATTTCGGCATAGTTATGCATACTTTGGCATTTTTTAGCGATGTTTAACACATTATGAGAAAATGTTAAAATATAGCTTATAATTAGTTTTGCATAATAGAATGATATTTTCTCTTATGCAAAGCAAGCATTCATTAAAAAATTATTTAAAAATAAAACATGTATTTTATTGTATCAGAAAAATTGTTAATAAACTGTTACAAAAGAAATTTATTTTTTTCTAATAGAGCATTTTTTAAAGTTTTATTCTCATCTTAAAATCATAAACACATTAATTATAATAAATAATTTTAAAAAGCAAATTTTTGAAACTTCTAACGATGAACGTTGTAACGCTTCTACATTTTTGATCTACAATATAGCAAATGTAGAGTCTCGTCTATTTCATTTACGCAAAATTTAAACATAAACATTCTTTAACCCATTGGCGGTTAAGGAAATGGGTAAAATTGGGAGAACGTTTCTCCCCATCACACAGTTCACCTATCCATTAACATGGAAAAACCGGTTTTGCTATGCAGAGAAGAGTGCAGGTTAAAATGCGACTTTTTACGCGCAGAACCGTACGCGACTTTTTACGTCAGTGGGTTAAATCGAAAATTTTTTGAGTACCTTTTGTCTTCATTTCTTTCTTAACTACATAAAAATTACACGTGCATATTCAAAATAAGTTCATTAAGATTTCACAAGAATATTTTATATAAACGTTATTAGAATTACAAAAAAATAATGTTAAAAGCACTGAAAATATTAAAGAATATGTTTTAAATATGTTCAAAGAAGAAAAATTACCATTGTTTATCTTTTTTACAACACATATATAACACAATAAAATAATTGCCACGTTTCTATTCAGCTTATATTTCAGCCCTATATTGAAAGGAAAAAAATCCATTTCATTTTGAAATTTAGTTTTGAAATATTAGTTAATTTAATAAAATAATAAATGCAAAATAATAATAAGTAACAGTATTAGTTATCAGTGAAATTTTAAACTGATAGGTTACGTTAATACTTTCCTTAATTTTTTATAATTCAAAAAAGAAAATTCTTTTAAATTTCTTACTTATTTTAATTTTTGTTAGAAGTAGGAAAGGTTTTATACAAAAAAAAAGTATCCGCTGAGTTGAAGTATTTCTCGATTGCCATATGTATATGAAACTTTTTAAGTCATCAATTGTTATCAGACGCATCCATACAAGTTCTATTCACATAATGATTGTAAAACATAAATTTCCTTTGGTCAAGGAGTGGTCTTTCTTCAGGTCTTTGGAATAACTACTGTTAAGAATTTTAAAAATGACAGACACCAAAATATATGATAAATAGGACCACTGAAAACATATTCTGACCGATAACACAACAAAAAGCAGGAAATGGCACTTCGCCTGCTGTGGAAGAGGCAGAAATATTTCGGTTATATGTAGAGAGGGAATAACAATTTATTTTGTGCTTAATAAGTTACATTATGACAAACTCTAAAGCTCTCAATGAAAAGATTTCGTCGGAACTTGAAAGAAGTCTCTGAGAACTTGAAGCAAGAGGCGGGAACGATACCTTTCTAAAATAGTTCAGTAATTTATCATCTATACATAATAATAAACGCGGCTGTGTGTGTGTCTGTCTGTAATCACAATATATCGACCCAGAAGCCTCGCCCAGGCACGAAACTCGGCACATAACTGTGTTTTGACATAATGAAGAAGTATTTTTTTTCTTTTTCAAAAATTTGGATTAGTTTTTTAGTTATCAGTCATTTTGTAAGAAAATCTATGCTTTTTCGTCTTCAAAGAGCCACATTAAAAAAAACTATTAAAAAATGCACATACTTTTCTCCACTCTTATAAATGTATGCTAATGCGAGCCTTACAATTGAAATATTAGTTTTCGACAACTTAAACCAATAACATACGAAGGAATTAATAATTTAATTGTAAGGTTCACATTAGTTTACATTTATCAAAGTGGAGAAAAGTTTAACTTTTGTATTAAAAATGTGGCAACATATTCGATACGTAAATAGAACGCTTCGCTTTGATATATTTGTCGCTGTTCATAATTGTTATAATAAGTTTTTCTTCTTCTTTCCACGCTCTATTTTTTTTTTTTAAGCGAAGACGATAATTTTTGTAGCGATATAGAAATAGAAATTGATACCATAAAAAATTATATAGAAATAGAAATTGATACCATAAAAAATTAATTCGTTTTCGTGTTCTTTTCATGTATTTAGCATTTTAGTTTTTTTTTTTTAAGCGTTGTAGCTATATAATATATAAAATAGGAATTTAATTGTTTTTGAAGGAACGATCACACTTACCTTGGATCTCTTTGGTTTTTCTATTCTTTATTTTAACAGTTTTTATTAAATGTAATTAGTTATTTTCAGAAAGTTTCAGTTTGCAGGTAAGCACTTAGATTTTAATATTGAAGTTTCATGATTTGCTTTCATAGTAATTGTTGTTCTAAAGTATTCGTTGACTTCTTAAAAACCCGATTACTGACATGGCAGAACCGCCTTCCAAAAAACTTTGTATTTTGTCAAAGAAAAAGATATTAAGAGATTCTCAAAGAAGAAGAAGGGCCCAAGAAACGTCTGTGGAACGTCAAAGAAGGATGGAACATGACCGAATTTCGACAAGCAATTCTAGAGCCCAAGAAGTATCAGAGAAACGTCAAAGAAGATTAGAAGAGGTTTTCAGCTATTGGCCAATGATGATTTCGAAAGCAACTTTTGCATGTTTTTACAATTTCTGAGGCCTTTTTTTTAAAAAAAAAAAAACAAGTCTCCACCTGATAGTTATATTATAGGTTAGTTTACCATAGGCCTTAGGTTACCATAGCAAAGTTACATCTTCAAACATCCTAGAAAGCTATAACACATCTGCAGCAGAACTGGATATGAAGACAAAATTGCAAGACAGGAACACTTTAATTGTCCACTAATCTTCAGATTTCCTGCTATGTTTTAAAAAACTTTATTTGTGAAAACCCTTAGCGTGGCGGACAGCTGGCCGCCTTTGGCGGCTAGTGTTTGAATATTTGAAAAGCAGAAATTGTTTCATTGCGACTAAACATCCTGTTCAAGGTCAAGCATTCAAAACCTTCTGATAGATGCTCTCTCCTCCTTTCACAAATATTTTTAAAAAATGTTTAGCTTTTCTACAGTATTTTTCTTTTTTCTTGGAATAAATTAATAATATAAATGCTATTTTTTTAAAGAAAATTTTTTTTTCTTCCACGGTTTCAAAAGTTTGGTTTAATATAATTACCAATGAAGAAATTTACGCATGCTTTCATCTTTTTGTGCACGTTAGATTTAGAGTTTAATTAGATTTTCCTTTTAACACTATGAAACTGCATATTACTCACAGTAAAAAAAAGAACGATATTCTGCTTTAATAATATAATTATAATATTTTGCTTTTTTAATATTAACATAATTAAAAATCTTAGAAGATAACTATTTTAGAAAGGGTCAACATAAATTATTTTAGACCTTAAAATTTTTATACAATTAAGTTAAAATTCTGATATTTAAAGGTTTTAAATAATTTTACTAAATTTTTAAGACAAACAAATAAAATATTAAAAA